AGTCCTTTGTCTTTCACTTCCCTGCACCCCCCCATCCTCCTGCCTGGTTCCTCACGGGTGAAGCTGCACTCGCAGAAGCTGGCCGAGGAACCTGGTATGTTCCTGCCCATGTCACTGGTGAATTGGACCTTTGGTTGTGCTCTGGAAAACATGACAACCCTGGCTACCTTTTGGTGTCAACAAGAGTTTATTTGTTGAAACCACCACCATCGTTATGTTAGATCTGCCTTGCCTGGATGCCAGGTGCCTGTCTGCTGTGGCTGGGCAGAGACATTTGCAGATGCCCCTGCTGTGTTGGGTAGCCTGGGCTTTAACAATGCAGGACCCTGGCTTCCCACCTGGCCGTACGCTCTGTGCTGCTCTTCATCTTTTTGCTTCCAGCATAACCAGCCCCGTGAGGTTTAAGTACTGCTTTCTCACTTTATTTTGCAGCCTCTCGTTTTTGTGTTTCATTGTCAACTGATGTTGTCAGTCACTGTGGCTCCACATATTGTGGCATTGTCCTTGCATTTGATTTATTGCTGATGGCTTTAATATAATTTGGCACCAACAGAGATGTCTTTGCCTGCCAGTAATTTGAGAACAGAGAGTGATTTGGACAAGCGATAGAACTGTCTGGTTTTTGTCATCCGTGTCCTGTCCCCACCCCCTGCTTTAGCTGAGCACTCTTTCTTGGTAAAGCGATGTTGATATGTATATTCTGTCAGTCACAGCACATAGTATGTCATAAAATGTTTTTGTTCATAGTGCAGGCACATCAACAATGAAATCATGGCATTGCCAAAATAAATAAAAACTTACTATGAGGGCTTTCAAAATCAACAGTATAATGTGACAAAGACAAAGCTAAACTAGAATAGCAGCGAGTCAGTTATCTTAGGCCACCATTAAAGTGCATTTTTAACTTCATTTTTATTGGATATAACTCAAGCAAAAAATAAAGCAATATGGATACAAGTTTTATTTATATATATATAAAAGAAGTCCTCATGTAGGAAATGTCTCAACTGTGGCATTACAGAAATTCTGTCATGAATGCCTGGAGATTTTGAAACACTCGTGATTTCTAACATTTTGAAAAGCTGGCTAAATCCTTGTGGTTCTGTGTAAAAGGCAGTTTTACAGCAGCACTGGAGAGAAGCAGTACCCTATGTATGATAATGTACAGATAATGACTTGCCAGGAAGGTATCAGAGTATTTCACAGCTACCATGGTATTCATAGAACTGCAGATAGGAAGTTGTTTGAACAAGAAAAGGCAGGTAATCTTGATTATATTTTCAGACATTACCTAAAGCGATTTATCAACTTTGTGCCTTGGCTTCTGTTTTTGAAACATGAAATGAATTCATAAAGTGCTTTAAACACATGGGTCAAGCATCTTTTGACCCCCAGCCCCCCTCTCCAGAACCCCTGTCTAGAAAGGCCTTTTGGTGGGTATTGACTTCTTGATTTAGCTCGCAGTATACGTAGTACAGGCAAGCAGCCACCAGCCACTGAAGGTTTGGGGATCAGAGCCGAGTTGTCCACTGCCAAATTATAACTTTTCTGAAAGCAGCTACTGTAAGGGGACATCTTGAGACTATGTACGCATACTGGTTTCAATTCTCACTTCCTCACAATGAATGCTTAATTTTCTGGTGCTGTTAGAATAGGGCCCTATTAAGCTCAAGAATGTAAGAATGCAAGAGTGAAACTGTGATGAGTAAATTAATGTTTTTTAACATCTTAGTTTCAGTATTCATCAGGATAAGAGGACCATGAAGCCATGTACTGCAATAAATCGGGGTCAACAGAAGGATATACTCTCTGCCTCCCCCCCGCAGACCCAAAAGCAAATCCCCTCCCTTCTTTAGACACTTGAAAACTGTGGAAGTTTACGTTTCTACCTGTTATTTTTAAGAACCTCGTTTGACCTGAAGGGGTTTACGTGGAAAGAGCCTTTTTAATCAGGGTGTGGGGAACAGAACAAGGATGAGACTCTGCAGCTTCTGAAACAATTGATTGATGGGAGGGACTGGCAGTTTGGTCAGTGAGGAGAGCCTGGTGGTCCCCTCTACCCCTTGCCCCAGCGAGCAAATGGGACCAAACAAATTGTGCCTGCTGGCTGAGGGATGCTGCAGCCTGCCTTGGAGCGCAGGCTTGGCCTTTCTGAAGTTTCCTGCTAGACTCAGTACTTGCTGAGAAGCTGAGGCAGCAAAATACAGTATTTTGATGCTGTAGCAGAGGGGAAGAGCGCTGTGGTTTCTTACTTTTTAGCTGCCTTTGGGTCCTAGCTATTGCTGCATAATGAAATGGCTGATTTAATATACTTTAGCCACTGCCTGCAGGCTGCTTGCTGTTTGTCACTAAAGCCAAATCGCCTCTCTTCTTGCCCCGCTTCCCCTTTCCTTTCATACTGCTCTTGCAGGCTTAATTAGAAGTGTTGGCTGCCAAAGCCCCAGTTGGGTGAATGGGTTTGCAGGGACATGTGTGTGCATTTGGCTCCTGGAAACAGCAGCAAGCAAATGAGTATCTTTTGTTTTATGAGCTTTGCCTAAAAGGGAACAAAGAAAAGAAACTATCTTCAGTTACGTAAGATGCCTTTCTGCCACAATTCCTTGTCTGCGTTTCCCACGGTAACTGGGCACAATTGTTGCATGGCCTTGTTCTTGCAGAACAGGCATTACTGGAGTTAAGAGCACTGAAAAGAGTTTAAGTGCTAATTTAAATTTTGGAGTTAATTCTGATTTAAGGGAGTTCAGGATCCTTGTGGTTTGCTAAGTGCACGTGTTTACTAGCAAGAATATCAATGTAAAGTGTGTTCCAACTCCACTCTGAGTTGTTTATCCGATGTAACATTAAGAGTTTGCAGCGGGATGGGGTTAGCTACATTTCTGTTTCCTGAACATATGCTCAGTTGCAGTGCACGTTATTAACCAAGTCAATACAAATACTTCTGAAAGTTGTGCTGCATGTATTAATCACTGTGTGTGCAACAGAAAGTGTCCCAAATTAACATAACTAATCAAGACAAATTGCACAGTACTTTCTCAAATTGAGAAGAAAAGCAAGCCAGGAATCAGTGATGGCACTAGCCAAACTGGTCTCTTGGTTATCCAAGGGTAGGAAAGGGAATGGGATGAGCCTGCAAGACTTAGCATCTGAGGAGAACAGAGGACCCTTGGTCTCATAAGCAAGTTCTGTAGAAAGAAGGGGCAGCACAGAGTACGCTGTGAGCAGCATCCACTCTGCTTTGTGTCAGAAAGAAGGCTCTACCAAGAAATGCTAAAGCCAGATCCATCGGGGGAGCCGTAGTTGCAAGGAATTCACAGCTTAGTTTGCCTACAGGGAAACAGGAGATGGCTGTTAATGGGATACAAGAAAGATTTGCGGGTTTTGAACGCATACACAGACAGGGAGGAAACAGTCTTGAATATTTGCTGGGATTCATCTTGACTGCTCTTGCAACAGCTATTTCATATAGAATATATTCATGCTATAAAGTTATTACACTGCTCCCAAGAGGAGAGTTTTCCTGCACTAATGTCTTCTATATAGATTAATGGGTAAAATAAACACAAAGAAAGGGAAGATCACCACACATAACATTGCAGCATGGTGAGCCATAAGAGCTGCTAGGAAGAGACAGTTTCCTAGAACAGCACATTGCTTAGGCCTGAAGGTTGTGAGAGGACAGGAGAAATGAGTGTGGAGCCCTGCAGGACAGAGGGGATTTTTAGTTGGGCCAACCCTTCCTGGCACCTGTATTTGAGTAATTCCCTCTTACCCAAAGTCATTTGAAGTATGGAAGGGAAGGGGAGAGGAGCGCATTGGGAACAACCCACAGGATATGCCTAGGTTTGCACTGGTTTTGTGAAGAGAATCTCCCTGTCTTGAACTTGCAATGCAGGGCACTTGCGATGCTTCCTTTTAGAGAAAGCCAAGCCAGAGACGCACTCATGAAGTGTGCTCGATGAGCTCAGGCCACAAGCAGGGATGTAAAGGGCTGAAGTGGCTGCAACACCAAGTCCTTGATGAGCTCTTTTAAGAGCTCACGCCACAACCTTGAGTGTCTCATCCCTGTTAACAGTGCTATGCTCACGCTCCAGCTCACATTCTCCTTCTCCAGGAAAAATATTTTGTGACTGATCCACTGTACCAACGCACTTGTTTAACTGTGAATACTCCTGCTCAGTTACAGCTTAAGAGCTTTTCCTGCACGTGCACCAGCGTGAGGTAGAATGGAGCTGTTGGTGCATCATGATGAAAGTGGCAGGGTGCAATCCCTCCACAAATGGGTTGCTCTGGCCAAAAGCTTTACGTGCAAAAGAGTAGTATCTGCTGAGATATAAAAGAGCTAGAAACCTTTGTAGCATGCTTAGGAAGGTAGCGGTGAAGGTTTTCTCTGAGGGCAGGAACATGATTGCTTGGTACCCTGCTGTACCTGATTAACCAACAGAGCATCCTCACCTCCTTTGGGCTGTAGCAGTACTACAACAGCTCAGCTCTTCAGCGCACCCACAGTTACCCCTATCTCCTGCCTATAAACAGAGAGCAGGTACTCTGCTGGAAAATGTTTCTGCTACTTGATGCCTTCCCTGCCCCTCTGTGCAAGCCATTTGGCCCTAAACCCCAGAAGGGTTTCAGGGACAGCACTACAGGCACAGGACAACATACAGCAAAGTCAGGAAGGCCCCTGGAAAACAAATTATTCCTG